GGGGGGGGGGGAACTGGGATTGTTTCCCAGAAATGTACCCTCTAAGTCCTGAGAAAGCAAGTATACATCTTGAACACGGACATTCAGTTAATATCATGCAGTTTAATATTAAAAGCATCTATACTAAATGTAAAAAGGATTTAAAATTCCTTTCATCTTACATTGTGGGTGCTATTAGTTCCCTCCTACAGTGAGATACATACAGTTACAACTGTCCACTGGTTAGACTTAGAAGTAAGTGTCTTAAAGACTGTCCAGTTCCAACCTCCTGCCATAGGCATGCACTAGACCAGGTTGCCAAAGCCCCATCCATGCTGGCCTTGAACACTCCTATGGACATAGGAAAATTTTCTGCAGCAGGGGAAGTTCAGTTGATGGTATTCACCTATTCAGCCTTTAGCCAGAGCTCATCAGCAGTGAGATGTACTAGTGATGAATATCAACTTCCCTTCAGGTGTGACATTACTGTTACTATGATATGCCATGTCTGCAGTAACAAGTAACTACAGGTTTCACTGTATCAAAACTGAATTAAATTATGATTACCCAAATGACTACAAAATCTTTAAAGGTTACCATTTGTTCTTGCTCCCTGCCTGGGTATCTCCTGGTTACTTCCAGATAATAAAATATTCTTCTGAATCTCCCTGCAGTTTTTGTATAAAAGCTTTGTCACATCTGGGGCTCCAGGTCAGAACTGGGCCCTGTGTTACCACTTTCTATGTTCAAATGCAGAGACAGATTCACCCCTAGAAATGGTTTGTACTGGGATTCTGGACAAAGGTACACAGTGTGCTGGGTGCAGAGAAGGCAGTCCAGTTGGTGAAACTTGAGAAAAGACAGGAATACTTTTTCAAGCACTGTCAACAGTTCAACACAACTCAGGGAATCTCTGGCTCAAACAGCTCTTTTTCCTTTTATCTTTCTGAGAAGAGGATGACTGTATTTCTCTGCCCTATCCTCTTAAGAGTTTTGAAATTTAACTAACAATCATGAAATGCAAACAGTGTATATTTTTAGTCTTAATAGTTCTTGGTGTAGATCCATGGCCTTAGCTATACTCTTTACTTAGACTCTCCATTATTTCTAGGATTTTAGAACTCTTTCCTTCTTTTTCATGAAATAGTTGCAAAAAAGATACACCTCCACAAGCTGTCCCAACAACTAGTGGAAAAAACAGAAGATAGTTTCATTCATTTTCCCTTTTTCTTTTTTTTTTTTTTTTTTTGTTTTTTTTTAATTTAAATTTCAGTAAGTTCAGAGTAAGTTTGCCAACCATGACTAATGTTGAGCCATGATGTCAGGAATGGGGGAGGGCCTTTACGTGACTTGATATTTTTGTCTTGACATGTTTGTGCTAAAAGATAGTTCACTGTCTGGGGTTTTATCACATTCAATTATTGCTATCAGCTTGTGCATTCAAGATGTATTCCTAAAAACTACCATTAGAATAATTTGTTCTGCTTCCTCCTTCTAGACTGGCAATAATTGCCCACCCATCACCCTGCTCCTTTATCTTATTCTCTAGTTCTCACCTACTGAGTCTCTTTCAGTTTCCTAGGGGGGCTTCATCAGAGCTACATAAACTTTATATATATATTACCTCCTACTGCACTGTTAATAGAACTCTTTGATCTCTCACTAAACTATAGTGGACTGCTGCAAGATAATGCTTTATCTTTTGCTGGACTTACAGGTACTCTATAAGTCAATAAAACTGCCTTTTAAAGCTATGACTCCACAAAGAATCATCTCTCTATTAAGCATTTAGTATTAGGGGCTATACAGTTTCATTCTACACCATATCCATGTCTTTCTCCTCCTTCTGTGCTTCTACTTTGGTGACAGCTGAGGTCACAAATTTTGACATATATTCATTTTTTCCAACTCTGCAGAGAAACCATTGGAGCACCATGGAGTTCTCTTAGTTTGTGGATAGCAGAGGCAATTTATATTCCAGTTCAAACAACTCAAGAGGTGAATAAACAGCAAACAAAGGTGAGAGTACCTTAACAAACCTTAACAAAAAACTTCAAGAGAAGAAAGTTCAAATACAGTAAACATCCTTCATTCAGTAATTTTTCAGTTTTAAAAAAATGAAAGAAAAGCAGTTTCTGATTTTAACTTAGACAGAGTCATGCAGTATTATTCGTTTTCATGCATTTTCATCTCATGGTGACAAACATCATGAATCAAACTCTTGTCTTTAGAGATTTCTGTAGTTTGGCACAAAACACCACAGAGCACCTTCGCGGCTTTCCCAAATCCAGACCAGTAGGCTCAAACAATAACCTAAATCTACATGAAATCTGACCACTGTCACTAGAATCAACCTCAATCATTAAAATACTGAATGTGGTAAGATGCTCATATTACATATGATCAGCAATGAGCAGCACCTGCCTTGTGAAAATTATATTTATATTCTTTTGATGGTTTCAGACTGGCTATTAGCATTATCCACAGGAAGTAGACAAGAATTCCAAAGAAAGATTGAATGAAATTTTGGGAATAGATATGTCCAAATTCAACAGTTTCTGCACTTTTGAAAGATACTTATTACATTTTTCACCTGTCTCGCTGATTACATTATAGCAGAAAAGTCAAGTAAATCACCAAAAATCTAAATAATCACAAAACCTACTCTGATTTTTTTCACCTTTTATTTTACATTCATTTCAAATTCAACAGTAAACTATTCCCATCACTAGCTGAATGTGCTGCTTTCATATAGTGTGCTCTGCTCATGCCCCCATAAACCTCAAAGAGTAAAAAGAGAAGGAGCAATAACAGGGCTCAGACTTGTCTGTTCAAATAATCAGCCACACTTCTTTATTCATGTGGGCTAGACATCTAAACTCAGGATGACCATGATACTTCTAGGCTACAAGGAGGCAGAACTATTTAAGCCTGCAGAGAACTCTAAAAGAAACTCATTTAAGAATCCATTTTTAGACCCATTCTGAAATTAACGTACAGCTGAATTTCATACTGCATAGACTAAAACATCATGTTTCTACAGTTTTCCAGCATGATATGAGGTGATTAATATATGCTACTAAAAGAGTGTTGCTTTCATGATTATTAGGCTTGTATATCTTTTATGGTCATTACAGCTTTTATATTTCCTAAGTAAGACCTTCCAATCTATCTTTTCTCCCTGAATTTGCATTAAATTGGCACTTTTTCCTAGAACTCCCCATGAAATTAGCACTTTTCTCAAAAGGTCACATGAAATTTTATAATACTGTCTTTGCTGCAATTTTATTTACAGCAACAAGTTGCTTTGAATACCTCTTTTGCAGAACACTCATTGACAGATATTTCTAGTATGATAGGAAAGTGATAGGCTACAGTAATAGTTAAAATTTGCCTTCAGTTATTTGCCTGATTTGACAGCTGTGTAGTAATCTTCCAACAGGTCATTTCTACATTAACTTTTGTCTAATGTCTCAGGGAGGTAAGAGCAATTTTGAGACAGGAAGGAGAATAATCAGGAAGTTTTTCAAGAATGTATTGAAAATGTCATAATACTTTGTCTTCAATTGACTTGTATGTAAAACTACACCTGTATTACTAGTGGGAGTGTAAACTTTGGCTGAAGAGACATGTAAAAGTTAATTTAAGCCTTTTTATCCATTCTTCAGAATGACAGACAAAGATTCAGGGGATGAAACAGGAAAATGAACTGCCTGTTACAGCTTTGTGTCCTTTTTATATCTTCATATCTAAACACAAAAAACTGCTTTTTCTTTTCCTTGTTTCCAGTCCTCACCAAAGAGGTTTATTCTATCTTCAGTCTCTCAGGAAGGAGTCACTCTTTGATGACTGCTCCAAAAATGCTAACAAAATAGCTTTTTCTCTCTTTTCTACCTCAACCAACTCTTCGCTAGGGTAGTGAAGATCTGAACAAAACAGTAAGTTCCAAACTGACCTGCTTTGGTTGTCCTCAAGACTGTATGGTAAGCTCCTGTTCTTGATTCTCCATCTTGTTGGTTCTTGAAAGATCTCACTGCAACTACAGAAGGTAGAGAAACAAACACTTCTAGTGACCATGTAAGCTGATGCACTGCCAAGAAATTTTTCAAAGAACTGTCCCTCCAGAAGACATGCAGGGTACTCAGTCACTGAAAAAGGGAATAAAATCCCTCAGAGTCAATACTGAAATGTGACAGAATGGCAAGAATGAGCTGCATGCTGCTTGCACTCTCCTCAGAGCCACAAGACGCAGTCTACCAGCAAGAAACAGAACTTCCTCCCTCAAAGAAAACAGTAAAACATATTTCTTTGTCCCAGGAGCTCAGGAGACAAAGAGTTTGAACAAATTAAAAAATTAGAGAACCTGTTTATTTTGTAGGAATTATTCCATTTTAAAGAATATAGTAATAGTAGGATCACAGAGTGGTGACATTTCTTATTTAAGAATTTGTAAACATATTCTTGGAAAAGTGTACAATCCTTGGAAAAAGTATAGAATAAAATTGGAAAAGACCTCTAAGATCATCTAGTCTCACTGTCAGACAAATCCTCAATACAAAAAATGAGATCTGACAAAGTAGGAATAAAAAGATAAATGGGACAAGCGACGTTATTTTCCAAATGGAAGAGTTGAAGTGTTAAAATTCCTAGAATATGCATTGCATACTCCTAATCTTTATTCCCCAATAATGTTCTCAATTAAGGATTTAAATTGTGCACAGGAACATTATAAAAGCTTGGACTGAATAATTAATTTAATTCCTATGTTAGTAATGACATGTTCACTCAATGAATGTTAAATAAATAAATAAATAAATCTTTAATATTTACCTTTCTGAATGATTTTATGGTCTCCTCTGAAAATTTTCAACGTGATTTTTCCTCAAAATCATAAGATGAAAATACTGTCAGATTAAACATCTTCTGACTGACATTTTTGTCAAGACAAATCTTACTTTAACTTGCTTTTCTCAGAGTTTTGCAAAGCTTCTATTCATTGAAATAGGCTGCTGTTAGTGGAAGGCAGAAGCCTTCAAAAGCAAAGATTAATGAAATAAAAAAAGACAAAGCCTTATAGGTGTGAAATGCAAAATGGCCAAAAGGTATAACTACCATAGATGGAAAGTGTAAATTTTTAGACTTGTGTTTTATGCTTCTAATTTTTAAATGAAATGATGATAGAAGGAAAAATAAAAGGAAGATAGGGAAAAAATAATAAAAAAAAAAGTAGATAACTGAAGAGAAGGAATTTGTACTTAAGAGCAATTGAGGAAAAAGTGGAGTGCAATGACCAATAGACTAGAGACAGGATTAGTAGAGAAAAGTAATAGAATTTGTTATAAACCAATTGACATAGGTAGAAAAAAACAGACAAGCTTTCAGATATGCAAGCCCTTCTTCAGAACAAAACTAGCAGGGAGTACAATGAAACTTCTCAGGTACTCTCTCTTATTATCCACCCACAGACAATGTCAAAATCCTGACTGGCAGAGGAGGCAGGGATTAATGATAGGTGACACCATCTGAATTATTCAAAATACTGCCACCAAAAATGTATTAAGATACCACCAAGTTAAGAGATGCTACCAAACTTCTTGAGCAAGGACGCAGATTTGGAGAAGGCAGAACTGAAGGTGTGTTCTTCAATTGTTAGCCACCAGCTCCTCGCTTTCCCTTTAATAATGTTGGAAAAAGAAAAAATTCCAGCATTCTGTTGAGGTATGGATAATGCAATGGCAGCTGCCCTTAAACTGACAGCTGATCCCATAAGCAGAGCACTACTGTTTTGTTCCTCATTTTTGGTGGAAGAGAGAGAGAAGTGCTCTTATCTAGAAAGAGAAGAGCAGCTCCAGCTCCCACATCTACCAAACATTGCATATACTCTGGAAAGAGTATATGAACAAAGGCATGCCAAGCATAACAAATGCAATAGGTAGTCAATTCAGTCCATGAAGGAAAAAGCAGAAATCTGTATTGGAACAAACAACACAAGGCAACAAGTACTGCACTGCAATGTTTCCAGCTTCACTTTGATGTTGTTTAGCCATTGCTTTCTGTTAGAATAATGGCGTTACCACCGGTAATTGTTTCCTATGGGTATTCAAATCTTATGCCAAGCGCAGAGTAGGTGCGTGTGTTTACATGTATCTATTTGAATAGAGGTTTGCCATGAAGGATGCTGACTACGTGAGTTCACCTGAATTCACTAGACGTTTTTGGTTTTCAGCAACTGCTAGGGCCAGGGCTTGACACAAACAGTAAATTTTACTTTAAAAAGGACAACGTCTACCACCAAAATCCATAACCAGTAAGAACTGCAAAGACAATCCTTTCATTTCACTTTAAACTTAAACAGTAATAGCAGAACAGTTAGAACAACAGACTGTTCCCAACTACTATTATTTATTTTGTCAGCTCCTGGAGGACATCAGGGCTCTCTTGTACTTAGTTTTGTAGATACTAAATAACAGCACCTGTCCTCAAAGCTCTGAAACTAGTAAACTGAAGTACCACCTTAAATAACTTGATATACTTCCCATACCAACTTAAATACCTCATTCATATCAAGATGCTACAAACTGTAAGACACATTTCATTGTGTAGCAAGATTTAATAAGGTTTCTTGTACTTTCCCTTCTACGTTCAGAAGAGCTGGACATTGTGGAGCTACAAGAAACCTGCAGGCTGCCATACTTGCTTCTGTTTCTAATGAAAAATATTATACCAAACAGCAATCAGAAGCGTACCAAGGCAAAGTGAAATACATGCAGGGTCTACTTCCATATTTTCATATGCCTGTCCTAAAGATGCATGTTAAGTTTTAGAGACATTAAAGAAAGGAATACTTTACTTGCAGAGAACAGGTATGTGCCTAGAAGAGCAATTCCCAGAGAGTCCTGTGGGAACAAGGGTGGTACATCTGGACAACAGTTATTTCTGTCATGTAAATAAACCCATCGTCTTTCAGAAAAAAAATATATATATTAAAAAATGGGCCAACATTTCTAAGCATCTGGCTGCAAGCCCATTAGCACTGTTAATTTTCAGAAATGCTATTCTGAGTGTCTCTCACACTGATATCATTTTCTGTATGTAATAAGAATCACAATCATTTCTCTTGGCCAGGCCTACAGCTTTGATAGGTTCTTCAGTTTCTTGCTGTACACTTTTCCTCCCCCAGGCTGTACCCAAATTCTGCCATTTCTTCTTGAATTACACCTTCAACAGTCAAATGTTTCTTTTAGACCATAGCTCTAAAGCACTTGTCAGGCCCTTATCTTTTTCTTTTATCCTAAAAACCTCCTTCACTACAACTTTTCCTTCCTACACTCCCACATATTTGTATCACCAACTTCTCTATACAGTCCTCTACAACTAAGGAACATCTGCCTTCTCTTTAAGTCTGGTCCAACACATCTTTTCAACACCTTGAATCCATCAATCCCTTGATTATGACATTTTAGCTCATTTCCCCCTTTCTTATAAGCTTATTCGTTGCTTATTTATTCAAGTTGGCCCTTATTGCACCTCCTCCCCACCACCCTGTCAGCAGTTCCAGCTTTGACAGTTTACTCCCTATTTCTCTGTCAAACTAATAATGGCCTCTTCCTTGCTACCCTTTTTAGCCAAATAGCAAGGCTGCTGCCCTATTTTCTTTTAAAATTCCTTGTCATTACATTCTTCTGATGAAATGCCCACATGAAAAAGCACAGTGAAGGCTGGTAAGAATACTGGGGTAGAAATGGGGATTGTAAAACTAGTTTTGCCTAAAGCATTCAGAGCAAAAAACACAAGTGCTTCTCTTCCTGCTTGTCCACCGGGGCTTTGCAAAGCAAGGCCTGTGCTTAAATACTCACTGCTTCACAAAATCTATCACCAAGACAAACACCACCTCAGCCTTCACCACCACGTTGCCCATCAGCTTTGAAACTGAATGGTTTCTAAATGCGAATTTGGCCTGTTTCCTTAATTAAATATGGTCCTGTCAGGATGCTCTTACATTAGCAGGGAACAAAAAGAAAAGGAGAAGAAAAATGAAATTATGGAGAAAGGGTTTAAATCAGGAAAAGTCATTAAAAAGACATCATTAAATATATGGGAATTTAAGCAGCTTTTAACAAAGAATGCAGCTGTAGAGAAAACCTAACTGTATTTTAAAATCTGACAATTATGTTCTGCTTTATAAATCCTAATCTTTAAAAGACAACACTACTGTACATTGAGGAAGGATAGGGAGGATTTTTCATGCAAAGTCAATGACAATCCTAAAATTCAAGGACAGATAAGAGGTTCAGTCTTATGTTTATAAAGTGCTATCCATCCACACTTGCATAATATATTTTTGCAGAATCCTAAATCACCTAATAGTGTGATAAAATGCATGTTGGCCCAAGTGCCAGCGTCAGAATGTCGCAATAAATTAAGTTCTGATACAGAAGCATAGCTCTGCTTATTTATCTATGCACAAATACGTGTTTGCATGCAGACTGCAAACTGTGACCAAAATCACAAAACAAAAGCAAGCCCCAATTCTACATGTCTGTAAGATGACAAAACTTCCAGCAGCGTAAATATAGAATGAACTATAGAATGAAATACAGAATGCCCTGCATTACAGTGTGCTATGTCCTGCAAGATTCATACTGAGTTTAATTAGAATAGGTACTTAAACACTAAGTGAATATCGTATAAAATATAGATCCAGAATCAGATATCACTGCCAGCTTTACCTAAATACTGGCTTGGCAAAATTGAAATTATATGGACATAACCTCATGTATATACCTCATCAAACTTTCTAACTACTGACACTGTTGAAGTGGTCACCATTAAAAATTTTACAGCTTAATTTTTCCAAACAGCTAGCATTATTCTGGGTTTTATGATTCTATGATTAGTGTATTCTGTTTCTTATAAAATTGAAAGCATAATAATTTCCTTTGTTTTCTGTGTTTTAAACTCTGAAGAGCTTCCACGTATCTCCAGCAGCTGTAAAGAACATATTACTGGGGGAACAGAACCTCACTTTGCTGAGCTCTGTAATAACAATTTGTGCTTTTATAACAAAAATAGCTGCACAAGGCCAACACTTTCTCCTCATTTATTTATGTTGATATATGACAATCCTGATAAGAAAAAAGCTAGACCTGCCGTATTTATAATGAATCATTTTATAATCAAATACTGTATATTAACCTGGTCTCTGGCCAATGCAGCACCTAGCTGCCAAGTTCATAATTACACTGTTCTACAGCGAAGGGGATGAAATAAATTAATTTCATGCCATATTTGGTCTTACTCTAAACTACATTTATTATCTGGCTGGTGTCTGCGACAATTAAAGTTTGCTAATTCAGGTGTTGATTTTCCCTATTTAAATTCTTTTTGATGTCTCTTTGCTTCATATTGTCGAGTCCAATCCATTTTTTATACTTACTTTACATTTTCTCTCTTTGCTTAGTGGTTTTGTTTGTTGTTGTTGTTGTTTGTTTGTTTTTTGTTTGTTTGTTTTTTTACTTTCCAGCCTTGCTCCAACCCGTTCTCCAGTCAGAATATGTATTTTTACCCAGACTCCAAGGAGTCTAAAGCTAAAACCATGAACAGGTTTAATATAAAATTACATTCGAATTGCTGACTTTTATGGCACATCCAGATGTAATGATACATTACTTATCAATCCCTCATTTTTAATGTCAGACATGTTATGTTAAGCTAGCTTGTTCAAGTAATGGATTTACTGATTAGTTCCTGTTTTGGTCTATAATTGTTCAATGATTTCCTCAATATTAGCTTAACCAAAAAGCTTATATATAATTATTTGCAATATGCTTGACAGAAATACAGAAGCATTCACAAGAGAATCACAGCTTAAGTTAATCAATAATGGTTTTATCAAGAGTTTTTATTTATAGCTAATGCAAATGTTAAAAAAAATGTTGCAGCCATTAATTATAAGCAGTTTTTTTAAAGCACAAACTAAGAGTTGAATAAATGTACTTTAAGACACTTAAAGCCCAGGCATTCTTTTTAAAATGACTAGCTAAAGAGCCCCTTGGGCTGTCTTTTTACTGCTTTTCAAAGCTCTAATAGCACTTTTTCACCAAAGACACACCCCTTGAATCCTCCGAGAGATACAATAGCATAATTGTTCTTTTAGGTTTTAAGGCCTTGACATATCTGTCACTGAAAGAACAGTGAATAATAATACCAGAACTATTTTATGCAAATTCCACTTAGAGGTTTCAAGATTTTTGTGAGACTGATCTTGCCTCCTTGTTGACAGTTTTATTGTCACATTAGCTTTACATGAGAAAGTGGTAAAGTTTTCTTCTTTGTTAAATAATATCCCATTTTAAAATCTTTTAGATAAAGTTAAAAACAAATACAAAAACAATGAGATGGAAACATCAATTTGGAAAGATATCAAAGGAGAAAACAGTAGTCACTTGTATGATTTTCTCTCACTGGCTTTCATTTTTGAAATTATAAGTCACACTCGTTATAATGTGTAATATGTACAAAATGAATATTTACTTGCATGTATGTGTATATTTACACACACATATAAGGTTATGAATAAAACATACCAGGATGTGTATTCTTAGACTAGTCAATGATGAATGGCTTATATCTCAAGGTCGCAAAGCTACCAAATACTTTCTGTGTATATATATATGATATATATATATATATGTTCATAGGCAGCCAACTGTATACAAACAAAATGCATGCTAATATGTCACAAGTAGTAGATTCAGTTAGCAGAGAGGAAGTGAGACAAATATATGCACATGACCACTATCTAAACATGTTCACATTAATATCTCATAAAACATGCTTTTAGGTCAGTTTTGCAAAATCTCCTGAGATGCAGAGATCTGAAGATACCATCTAGGATACAGTCACAAATATAAATACTCTGTCCGCAGCCTGCTTACTCCAATGCCAAACAATATCAGTCTCTACATTACAAAGAAATTATGCTGCAAAAAAGGATTTTTAATTGCTTCCGCTGTGAAAATGATTCTGCTTTTCCCTCCCTACTATCCTGTTCAAGAAAAAAGGTAAAGAAATAGCTTTATGCTGAACCAGCAGAATCTTTTTACTACCATTTAAAAGTATCATAAAACCACAGAATATCCTGAGTTGAAAGAGATCCATAACAATCATCAAGTCCAGCTCCTGTCTCCACACAAGAACACCCAAAGAATCGAACCATATGTCTGAGAACACTGACAAAATGCATCTTGAATTCCAGAAACTTGATGCCATGATCCTGGGGAGGATGTTTCATGCCCACCACCCTCTGGTGAAGAAACTTTTCCTTATATCCAACCTAATCCTCAACATGGCCACAGAATTCCTCAGATAGTGGCTCCAGAGTCAGGCCAGACCAGACCCAATTCTTGTGACTCAAGGCTAAAGAGCACTAGGATGAGGAATAAAAATAACTGAAGTAAATAGATGTTTAAAGAATGAGATAATCACCATGGGTTAACACTCTTCTTGGTGAATGTCTATAGGATGGAAACAGGGGAATTCATTTTTCTTTTAATTCATGGTGTCATCATCCCTGTATATTTGCAGGTAAAGTGGGAAGTTCAACCAGCTCCTAGGGCAAAATCTTTTGTAGTACATGGACTGAAAGAGTTGGGTTCCCTGTTAGCCCAGCTTCTACTGAAAGCAATCTCACAACGAAATTCAAATTCTCTACAGATCCCTACAGGATGACAGAAATGAGAATATCCCAATACAGTCCCACTTTTCACCAACATCTAAGAAGCCACAATAAGAACCTGGAAGCCACAGATAATCCTTCCTGGGAATGGAATAGGGGAAAACTGGAACTGTACTATATGTCTCCTTATCCAGCTCACAACAATGACAAGTCCAAGCATATAGAGTTCCTCCACAGAAAGCGTAAAGAGAGCGTACACAGAATCAAAGAAATGTATGCTCCACAAGTGCATTTGCAATGAGTTTTCCACTTTCCAAATGTACTCTTCTACATTTATAGTGTGTCTCTAATTTGACTGTCTCAAAGCACTGTGTCACCTTATAGATGCTCCTTTGATTGCACAGAGGTATAGGGCTATCCAGTACTGGAGGAAAGATCTCTCTGCTCAAGGACGTACTATGAATCCGCATGATTATGAAAATAATCCTGGGATATTTAATATTCATAAGGAGCAAACATGACCTCCAATTTTAAGCTTTTACCTGAAAGAACTGTTACAGAGTAAACTGTACAGAATCATAGTACTATAAGAAGTTATTTTGCATGAAGTTGTGCAAAAACTTCTACATTTAATTTAAAATGGATTCATTCTATTTTTATACTGAATCCAGCCGTATAAGACCTTAGCACTGAAAGTCATGAAGCACCATATTCAAACGAACTTAGTTTTCACTTGAGTTAAGTTTGTTATATAGGCACAAATCAGATTCAAATTTACCAGGTAATACTTCGTCAGCAAAGATGTGGAGATTCACAGGACTTTTTGCTCTCGGTTCCAACACAATTAATACATCTGATCTACAAAAATCCACATTTTCATTTGTAAAGCAACGGATTGTTACTGACCTGTTTGTTTACCACTGGTGGTGAACAGCAGTTCACAGAAGTAACTGTAGTGCAACCAAGAGAATTAATAGTAACTTATCAGTACCAAATGTGAGGAACTCAGCACTCTGAAACCCAAGAAATACAATGATAATGTGACTGCTCCCAGTAAGTGGCAGAATAACAGAAAAAAAAATTACCGTATATATTGAACAAGTGGAGAGATCACTTGAGATTTTTTTCTCCTTTCGTTAAGTTGTTCATGAAGGAGTTCAAATGATTCAGATGACAACTACAGCATCGCAGCTCCCACCAACTCAACAAGGCTCATCCTAGACTGTTGGATCCTCCACAGCTGATAGTCTTATCACAAAGGCTGTGGGGAAAGGAAAGCCGTTTGAGCACAGATCTGACCAAAACTAAGTAAGGTGATTTCACAAAGTATGCAAACATCACAGTGTAAGATATTTTATTATGTGCATGAAACTCCTCAATAAGGAGTTTCTAAGACCTGGAAGCCTGTAACTGAGGGCTGCATTGCCTGGCCCCAGATGGGAGCAGAGCAGCCAGGAGCAGTCAGGACAGCCTCAGCCCTGGGCATTGGAAACCACTGTGGGGACAGAGGAAGGACAAGACATAGGCCCATATTTGGGCCTGGCTTAGCAGGTCCCATTGCCATGTAGGGCAGGGCTGTGGGGGACTGGAGACTAGTGCTGTTGCAGCCTTGCTAGGTCAGGGACTGACGGCTGAAATGGGATCCTGGGCTGTAGACAGGGTGGGGAGAGGCCTGGGGCCATGACATCAGTGCTCTGAAGAGGTTTTCTGAGTCAGCTGCAGGAGATTTTAAGTGGAAAATAACCATCGCTGAGCAAAGTACATAGACAAGATCTTAAATTCCAGTGGGGTAGAATTCAGGAGGTGACTTTTGTTTCAGGCAGTACATCTGTGTGATCCATAAAGGAGTTCTTTTAAATTACTACATATTCTGCATTTGGACAAGCAGTAATATCAAAACCCATACTTCAAGGCTTCATTTGGTCAGGAAAGATTTATTTCTTCTAAACGCACAAGTACTCTGCAGCAGGAGAGAACTGCCTTGTTCTGAATCAGCACAGGCTGGCTATGACAGCAGACAAGCACACTAGATAATATATATCTAAGGTGAATTTTTATTTACAGATAGCTGATTGATAAAGCTTTCTTGAATAACTATGAGGCTCAAAGCAGTAGGGATAGCAGGAATTTCCTGCATTTTAAACCTGGAGTAGGTATAATTTCCTTGAATCTGCTGTGATCATCTCACTTCTTCCAGTTATTCCACTTTCCAGGGACTCGGGTACCAGAGCACAGTGGTTTTTCCAGTTCTGTGACTGTTGGACACAGAATTAGGACCTAGGAGATCAGTTGCTTAACTTTAAATTGAGCTTCTGGGATACTCATGATAATCCAAATAATACTGACCTAACACTCAATGAAGCTTCATTCAAAATAGGTTATATTCTTAACATTTTGGCTGTTTGAATTTTAACATAGATTTAATATCTACTGAACCAATATCTAATTAGTATCTAATTAATTCAAAATAGTGGATTAAATTCCTATTAAATTCAAATTGATAGTTGATCCAATACTAATTTTTGTCAAGCATCATATGTATGTCATGGAATAAATATAATTTCAACTGGTTCATTTGTTCTCTGAACTAAAAATGGTTTCCTAAGTTGTCCAGGAATTTGTTCATGGTGAAGCTGTAATACAATTACAAATGAAGAAGAGAATATGTGTTTTCAGTATTACTTTAGAAATCAAAGTTTTGTTGCTGCTGGTAGGTTTTTTTCAAGCCACATAAATCATGAAGGAAAAAGTATATACTTTTAAATGCAAACAAAGATATTTTTACTGTTCTACTTGTTAGTCTATCCCTTCATTCAGTGGGTCCCATCCTGCATTCTCTGCACGGTCTCAAACATCAGCTCTAAACTGAGATCATTTCATATTTATATCTCCATATATGCATCTGAAACTTGTCTGGCTACAAAAGCTTATTCTCCTGCTGATTTAGTGTGTACAATTAGATGTCTACATCCAAAACACACCTTTCTACAAATCCAACCCACTGAATAAAACTCATTATCTTACAACATCTCTATCGACAAAGGTTATGCTTTTCTGAGCTATATTAATCTCTTTGTCTAAACATCACCAGCTTAATTGTTTAGATCAGAGCTATACTGTTTTGAGTAAAAGGATGTGATTAATGTGAACTAAATACGACTGGATCAGCTCTGCATCACTCTACAATATACACAAACCTATTGTCATGAGAGCTGCAAGAGTGCTTGGAAAAATCCAGCCTTGGTAAGCAAATTCCTTGCAAAAAATACCAAACCAAGCAAGCAGATGAAAAGTATCTCAACTGTACTGAAGACTTTCTATCAAAGGAGATGTATTGTGAGCCAAGATAGTTTTCATCAGTAAGGAGGGCAAGCTATGACATGAAGGGTTATGTTTCACATTTGGCCAGGAGGGGTGGAATAAATAAGTAACTGAGAAGGATATCTAAAAGCTTCCAGGCACATTTAAATGCTGTCCTGAAATTGAGACAGGAGAGATGGACAGGGCCTAGGGAGTTGAAAAGAGTGAGGAAGGAGAGTAGTCTTGTCCTGTAGAAGTCCATAAGCCCATCTCTCACCTAACAAAGAGGCAGAAAACAGATCTGCCCTGCCTTTACAGTGCTCAACTCCATCTCTGGACTTCAGAGCCTGATACAGCATTGATTGCCAAAGACAGGGATAACCATTGTAGCAGATGAGGAACGAAAGATAAGCTGATGAAGATAACCAAAGATAACCAAAGATAACCTGATAAGAGACAGAAAATGGCATGAAGACACCACAGAAGAATGAGGCAATTAATAGGAAAACAAACTGGTAAAGAACATTGCATGAATGCACAAAGAGAATGGGAAACAAAACAAAACAAAACAGAATGGAGAATGAGGCTCATAAGCAAATCACAGCACTGCATAAATTAGACTCATAGCTCCTCCAAGTGAGAAAGCAGGAACAGCACAAAACGAAGTTTACATGAAGTTTACAAAGTGAGTTTACATGAGACTTCCAAGCAAGGGTCTTCTGGCCTCCTTCCTTTCAATAATTAGAATCATAGAACAGTTCAGATTGGAAAGGACACCTACAGACCACCTAGTTGAAGCCTCCTGCTATGGACAGAGACATCTACAAGATCAGGTTGTCCAAAGCCCCATCCAACCTGACCTAGAACTCTTTTAGGAATGGAGTAAACACTACTTCTTTGGGCAACCTGTTTCAAGCACTTCACCATCCTCACAGTGAAGAGTTTGTTCCTTGTATATCTAGTTGATATTTCTCCTCTTTCATTTTAAAACTATATCCTCTAGTCCTATCACAGAAACTTTTAAAAAGTTTCTCTCCATCTACTTCATAAGCCTCCTTTAGGTATCAAAAGGCTACAATAAGCTGTCTCCAGAGCCTTCTCTTCTCTAGGCTAAAAAACTCCAGTTTTCTCAGTTTTTCTTTGTAGGAGAGGTGTTCCAGCCCTTTGACTATTTTTGGTTCTCTAATAATTAGAGAGGAAATGTCATAAGCATTAATATCCATTCCACTGTCCCCAGAGATATGTAGAGGGTGACTAGGCCTCACTCAAACAGTCCTTCATGCCCTTCAAGCCTCCACTGAAGTTGCTTTTCCTGGAAGGCACTGGAGTTTCACAGATCACCTGTTTATTCAAGCATCACCAGTTTTATTCTTTAATTCCTGATACTCCATCTCTCATAACCGATCATCCGGTCTTTATTTTAGCTTGTTGTTATAATAGCAGAACTCATCTTTATCATGACTTGGGCAAAGAAAAAGAAAAATACAAGGTCTGCTTTTTCAGCATTGGATTTTTGCAGTCAGTCAACTGCAGTCAGTGTGCCTTTACAGCTAAACTGTAAGAACTGGGCTTCTTTATGCAGATACCTCATGCACTGCTCTAATTCTATATTACCTGCCTCTCTTTTTCTGTCCAAAGGAAAATCTAAGCCTTCTTCTCTCACACATCCCTTCGCAGATGCCTATTTGTCAGCTCAATCTTAACATACAGAAGACAGAGCTTCTCCTTACTCTTCCCATGCACTGTGGACAATATCCACAGCCTATGTGTCACTCAAGTCCATAAAATCAGAATCTTACTCAGTTCAGAATGCTTCATCTAGGCCCTCACAGTCAAAGTTTTGCTGAGATTCTTTCTGAATCCCATTCAGAGCAAGATATCCAGGCACCTACCTCTCATCTAGAGATCTGTAAGATCGTTTACTCACTTCTTGACAAATGCAGTTGTGCCCTGCTCCTATCCATTCACAATCCTGCAAAGATTATTCTCTCAAAGGTTATTTTCTCAGATGTTTGTTCTATGCCAGTCCTCTTTCTACATCCCTTTGTCTGGCTCCATGTTACTACATAATTCCATGGATCAGCAGAGCTTACATGTCACTTTTCAATCAAGCAATTTATTAGCTCCCACCTCTGATCAATTCATTGCATGAAATTCCTTCTCTAGTTAATATTCTGTTATGAATCAGTTGCCTATTAATATTCTTAGAGACTTTTCAGTGTACAGTTCTCTACCTAAACCTATTTTTTTCATTGATATTCACAAAAGACAATTACTTTGCAGCTTTACCAACCTGATTCTCTTCTATTCCAAGACCCTGCTGGGATAGAATGAGGATTATTTGTTTGGGAACAGACTGCATCTCCCAGATAATCCTGAGCAGCCAACACTGACTCTGGTCGTGATTTTCAGAAAGGCTCTCTCAGGGATGCATTGGCCAATAGTAGCCAGTTTCAAGGTAAATATCAGTCAAGAGTTAGCTGAACAAAGATTCATTTACCTTGCCTTTTTCTCAGACTCCCAAGCTATGAGGTTCTTTGACTTACTTGAGTCCAAAGCTCAAATTGATAAGACTGTCCGCTGTTCAGTTAGGACACATTTTAGTGCTTCATTGACAAACACAGAGTAAAAAGGACTGAGACAAGGATTTTTTCCTCACTGCCTTTTGTCTGCTTCTTCCAACAAGCTTTGCATGTATTCTTTTCCATCTCCTACGGCTATTTTTTTTTTCTCAGTCTTACACTTTTTACATTTTTTGAAAACTTCCAAAAAGTAGATCTTCAAAATTCCATTTTATCCTTATACACATTCTCCCAGTTACAGGCAGATTCAATCTAGTCTTCCATTATTTTTCATTTGCCCCATTTGAACATACTGACAAGTTGCCTACCTTTCTTATTCAGATATTCTTTTCTAACATACTTTCTAATGTTCAAATCCTGGAATATGCCATCAGC